TCAGCCGCCAGGGATGATAAATAATTGTCATTGCCATGTTATGCCATTGTTATTGTTTATAAATTGCTGTTGACGCATATGTTATAGGTCGCAATAGAGGCTGACGCTGTTGGGTTACATGTCACGCCCATTACTCTTCTTTTGATTTAGCAATGCCAGTATGCTGTCTAAAATGATACACATAATGGTGCTGTTGTTTGATTCTGTGTAAATAGGCAAAGGTGGCATAAAGATGGGATTTCATAGTGTCTCTGTAGCGCAATCTTTGTGTAAAAAGGGCTACAGCCTCTGCTGCACAGATTTTGCCCATTCTTTTTCTAATGAGTCCCGGAAGTCTTCCAGTTTTATGGATGTGCAAAAGTAGATCTCTGGGGTACCCCTTTAATGCAGAAATAAAATGATTGAATTATTATCATTAAGATCATTAAACTAGCAACATGATTTGGAAGATAAAAGACCAGTCAGCAGCCTGAAAGGCACTTGCAGTTGATCATCATATCATTTACAGTGAAAAAGAGCACGATACTCAAAGAATTCACGTATAGAAATGTGTGTGTGTGTGTGTGTGTGTGTGTGTGTGTGTGTGTGTGTGTGTGTTCCTGAGCAGTGCTGCAGCAGTAGTGTAGTGGATGTGCTGCGCTCATCAGTAGAGCGGATAGTCCAGTCAAAGCCTCTACCCTCCCCCCAGTCCGTCACACTCAGACACACACACACACACACACACACACACACTCCCACCCACCCATTTACCCCAGCACAAGCACACACACACACATACACACACACCATCCCCCCTCACAGATATGGAGTCAGCAGCTTCCTCTTAACAATGACTGATATGCCTGGTGCTGTTGGACTGTCTGTTCGCCAGAGCTCACTGCAAGGTGCTTTAGACCAGAGGCATGCATGTAGGAGGCTGCGGCCTGTAGATGTGCTGGGTTAACACAAGATGGATGGAGGTTCAACTGCAGTGCACCCAGCAGATCCAAAAAATACAGAAATATCTCATATTAAGTGTTTATATCAGTCCCATCACACATTGTACACTGTATGCAAACAGATGTGTATTTAGCATATCACACATCTGTTATGACTGGTGCTGGTATGATGTGCATCATAAACATTTGTCTGTCTATAGTCATAACACTGCAAATAAGAAATACAGCAGATGAGATGAATACGAGAATTAAGTTTTAAACCCAAAATGAGACCAAAAGCAAACACATCTAATTATTCAAGTGTAAATTTACATGTCTTTTTATAGCATGGATTATTAGAAGTGGTCACCACTACAGTGTGAAATAAGTAAATGTAGATAATAAGGCCATAAGTAGTGACTTCTAAACCCATCTTGGAAATATTTCAAGGCTGTCATGGGCCACTTGAAAGAAATACTGAGAGATTTGACAGCTGTTGCTGTCAAGAAGAAGCGGCTCACTTCACAGTGCTGTGATTACAGTAAGAAACACGTTTATTTATAGCTCTTCAAGAGGGAATCACAGATTTTAGTGGCTTCTAATAAGTAACACTGGTTCATGGAAGAGAACAATGTGTAATGGAGGAACAACACAATAAATGAACAGTGGAATAAGTTACACAGGTAACATCATTTATGTGACCCTCTTGAAAACAAAACCATATGTCCGAATATGGTACTTTTATTTTTTACATTTGCAATGGCCCTCAGTCACCAGATCTCAACACAGATGTACACCTATGGAAGATTTTGGAGCGACGGGTTACCAACATCAAAACACAAATAAGGGAATATCTTTATCTTATCACAGGCAGTATCATCTGACCACAGTCTAAAGCCAGCCTCAGTTCAGTACAGTTCTGACACATTACCTTGCAGATCAGTTTGGCTGAAAGTCAGGTTGGATTTTTTACAGTTTAAAGCTGCAATTCTCATATCTGTTCTTTAATCACATAATCTCCATCTGTATTTTGGGGTCATGTTTCATTCAAATTGGCACAGACACGTCCTCCATTGTGCTGTTGAGCTCTGAGCCTCGAGCATGTATGATCTCTAATTTCACATAGAAAGTTTGGAAGTCAACAAGGAAGAAGTCAATTAAACGTTGGCTCTACTAGGTTTAAACCTTTGAAAAAAACGAAAAGCAGCAACCTAATGCACATGCTTATTCATTTTCCTGAAAATCCACAAAACCAGATGATTTAATACATTCTTAGACTCACTCTGATGACTTCAAGCTATTTTTGACTGACATATTTGTGTTTCCTCATGCATACTGCTTAGTTGTTTTTCCAGGCGGAAAAATCCACAGAGCAAATTCTGTGGTTTTTGAAGCTTGATTACTAAAGATTTTACTAGTGGGGTGTCTGGCAGAGACCGCTGGAACTCTGGAAGCTGCTGTAGCGCTCACACAGTGTGTACCGTTGCACCTAGGGTAATTCGTCTTCTTGTTTCCCCCAACAAAGGCAGCAAAACAATCAGTAAACAGTGGGCTCATTAAAACCACATTGTAGCCTCTGTTAAGTCTTGTAAGAAAAACTTTACATCACTCAGCCTCTGAAAAGGTGCTTTGTAGAGCAAACAATACTGTCTCCAATTCAAAGTGAACACACTGCAATTGTGCTCACACCTTTTCTCTGTGTGTGGTTTGATTGCATTCCCCCAAGCACCTAACAGTAATGTGTTTGTCACCAGAGAATAACCAGGATAAAGCAGCAGGGGTTGGGTGCTAGAGCCCGAGTAAAGTGATGAATGCAACCTAGTGTGAACCCTCATGCTGATCTCCAAACAGCAGACGAGCCTAGCATTAAAGCCAGCTCCTCTGGCTCTTTTCTCTCGTCTGTGTGCTCTGTGACAACAGCAGCAGAGGGCGGCCTGGACTTCTGCAGGCTCAGGAGTTTACCTAATTATCTGGCATTAAGTCTAAATGGAAGGCTTCCCTCTATCATCCCTCGCCACATGGCCACAACAGGGATAAGCCGTAGTCTTACAAACCATTAGGCTTTACAGGCACTTGACCTGAGGATGCAGGGCCACTGACAGAAAGTGAGGCTCTGGGGCCGTGTCCTGATCAAGGCACTTAGAGAACAGTGTACTGCTGGACACATTTATGTCAGTGTTGTGAACGTAAAACTCCAAAAGGTAAGCAAAGCAGTTTTAACCAGTGGTGGGACCAAGTCATTGGTTTGCAAATCACAAGGAAATCTCAAGTCTTTAAACTCAAGTTCCAAGTCCTAAACTTAGAGTTCTGAGTCCTAAAGAAGTCATAATGTCCTCTTCACCCAATGTAATGCTATTTTAACAACAGAGTAATAATACAACAAATTTACAAAAATCATGAAGGCTTCTTTAAAAAAAAAAAAAATTAAAAATTAAGGGGCATTGGTGGCTTAGTGGTAGAGCAGGCGCCCCATGTACAAGGCTGTTGCCGCAGTGGCCGGGGTTTGACTCCAGCCTGTGGCCCTTTGCTGCATGTCCCTCCCTCTCTCTCTCCCCCTTTCACACTTCAATATCCTATCAATTAAAGGCAAAAATGCCCATAAAAATATCTGGAAAAAAAAAAAGATTTAAACAAAAAGGAGTGCTGACATTGCACTTTCATTAGTACTATTAAACAGTACCACAACAGAATGGATTTTTTATGTTTTTGTCCTGTCTTACTGTATTGAAAAATGTCTTCTCTTCTCATATTAGCATTTGGCAAAGGTGTCAAGGATTTTCAAGTCAAAAGGCTCAAGACCAAGTGAAGTCATGAGTCATTGATGTTAAAGTCCAAGATGAGTTGCAAGTCATTTTTTGATTTTTTCAAGTCGAGTCTAAAGTCGTCAAACCTGTTACTTGAGTCTGACTCAAGTTCAAGTCATATAACTTGAGTCCACACATCTGGTTTAAACTGAAGGTCTGAAGTATAATAGGGGCTGGGTATCAAATCTCAATATTTTCTTCACAGCACCAGCAGTTTACCGCCAAGTGTCAAATGCTGGCAGTGAATGTGTGATTAGATTCATAATCTTGTTCACTTATTCTTCGATTAAAAGGCGTTTTCGGACCGTACAGTTCCGAACCTTTGAGGGCTTGCATCCACTCCGATTTAACCAGTATTGCATTTGCTTTGTTTGACCAGTCAACGGACACTTATGACATCTGGATCAGTTACTGTACAATTCGATCACTTGTGGTTCCTCTTGTGCTGGGAGACTATCTATTCAAAAATAGGAGCCAAAAATGTTCCTTAAAACGACATTCTGAGAACCGTTATTCCAAATTCTTGCGGTGTGGGCACAACAAAAAGGGGGCTCTTAGAACTAGGTTGTTAGAACTATGAAAAAGTTCTTCTTCAGTCTGAAAAACATGTAAGTAGAGTTAAAAAACAATATATAACTTTGGCTTTCCTTGGTAAATTAAAAATGTGTTTCTCATGTCAAATAGCCTAAGTACCAAAATATCAATGATCAAAAAGTGTTAGCATGGTATTAGTGTCAAACCTCTTGGAACTGACGGCAAACCTCAGTGCTGAGGCTAAAACTCAAAACCCCACCCTACACAAAAGGTCTTTGCTGTTTCTTTTTTTAAGAATTATCACCACTTGGCCCTCCAGCAATGTACTTACAGCAGACACAGATTCCTGCCACCAACATGTAACTGAGTGAATATAAAGCAGCACTCATACTTCAATGTCTTGCCCTAAGTAAGGGTTTTGCAAGTGCAAAGCAGTGACTGGAGTGGGTGTGGGCAAAACCAATGATATGACCACAGAGCAGACAGTGGTAGACTGCTGGAATGTCCCACAGGTTGTTATTATGAACATGAGGCTGGTCACACAACCTGCCAACATCCCCCGAGCACCAGATCTTATTTACTGCTGTATAGAATGTTCAGTGCTGACCTGATAAAAAGATTAACCGGTACTTTACAGTGTTTGTTTATGGTCGTTGGAGCTGTCGGGTTGTCTCACCACACTCCAAGTGCTCTGAACAATGGCTGTGCTGATGGTAATGCTGGCAATTTCCCTGTTTTTTTGCAGGTCACTGCCAGGGGATTCGCGCCATTGTTGCAGTTTGCCTACACTGCTAAGCTGTTACTCAGCAGAGAAAACATCCAGGAGGTCATCCGCTGTGCCGAATTCTTGCGCATGCACAACCTCGAGGACTCATGCTTTCGCTTCCTGGAAGCTCAGCTGCGCAGCGAGGAGGATGGCTTGCTGCTCTGCCACAAGGTGGCGGCAGAGGTGAACAACTCAGAGGATGAGAGCATGCAGTCAGAGGCGGAAAGGCCCACTTCCCCGAAGGCGCGACGGCGTGCTGAAGCCCTCACCTCCTTTGGACACCCTGACGATGATCGGCTATCAATGGCTATGCCCAGTAACTTCGCAGATGGCCGGCTGGACTTTGATCGGCACGGAGCGTCAGACCTGCCGCGATGCCCCAAGTACAGGAAATACCAGTGGGCTTGCAACAAGCACAATAATGACACCTCCTCACACACCAGTACCTCAGGTTTTCCAAGCACATTAAAGGAGAGCAGCATTAGCGGGGCAGTGCCAGGTCAGGGCAGGCTGCCTTTGGCACAGATCAAAGTTGAACCACAGGCAGAGGAAGAGGCCGTCTCATTGTGCCTGTCAGGGGACGAGCAGGACGTCAGGGATAAGGACAGTGTGACAGCCATGGAGATGGATAACCCCATGTCTGTGGAAAGAACCAAGAGAACCAAGTCCCCTTCTTGCCTCCGAGCCTTCTTCAAGAAAGGGGTGGACCTCCCCAGTCTGCCCAACACATCACAGCAGCTATTCGCCAACAGACTTGTCTGCCCCCAGGACAAAGGAAACTCTCAGGGAGATCATAAAAAAGACTTCAGGCCTTTCACTGGGGAGCTGGGTCTGTCTGTTACATCCCCAAAGGACGTGGACGGTTTCCCTGCAGGGTTGTCCCTCAAGTCCGCTTCCTGTGATGGGGTCTGCAAACAGGAAGTTGAGCTAGATCGCCGTAGTGTCATATTTTCCTCAGGGGCCTGCAACCGTCTGGGAACCCCAGCACATTCCTACCCTGGTGGGAACTCTTTGGAGATGGAGCTCTCTGAGCACATGCCAAAGAGCCTGTGGGCTGGAGCCAGCCAGTCCCTCCCCACCTCCCAGACCTATTCTCCCAGCACCACCTCCACTGAGCCCCCACTCCTGTGCCGCCCACGACCCAACACCAGCTGCCCAGTGCCAATCAAAGTGTGCCCGCGCTCGCCGCCTTGTGAGACACGCACCAGGACTTCCAGCTCCTGCTCTTCATACTCATATGCGGAGGACGGCAGCGGAGGATCTCCCTGCAGCCTGCCCCAGTTTGAGTTCTCCTCCTCTCCATGCTCCAACGTGGCACGCTGCCTCAATGTGGACCAGCAGGAGCAAAGTGTGGGCGGGGATCCCCTTTTTAACCAGGTGCGGCCCAAGATCAAATGTGAGCAGTCCTATGGCACCAACTCCAGCGACGAGTCAGGCTCCTTCTCAGAGGGAGACAGCGAGTCCTGCCATGTACAGGAGCGAGGGCCAGAGGTGAGTGTAAAACACTGTCTTTAGCATGTAACACACAATGTAGCCATTACATTCAATTCCGCCATGGCTAATTATATTGCAGTGCCCCGCTCTCCAGGTCTGCATTAGCAGTCATTAAATCATCATGTAATTGAAGCAGGAGTGTTCAGTACAAGATTTACAGCATCACCAAAGGGCACAGATGTGCTTTGATATTATTAATCTGCTTTATGCACTGCTGGAGATCTGTGTAATGAGTCTGAATATGTGAGCCCAAATGCACCAGGACAGTCAAAATGCAGGAGGCTGTGGTGCTGTTTTAAAGACTGTGACTGGTTCATCATCTTAGCTGAGAGTCGCGTGTATGTATGAAAAGCACTGCAGGCAATTGAAGGCTCAGGATTCTCCCAGGGTAGAACTGCCCTCTGAAGTGATTCCCTCTGGCTCTATCTGTCTCCCTGCCAGTGCCAGCTAGCCTTACTAGCTCATTTTATTCCAGCAGAAACACTGACATCTATAATCCGCCTCTATAAATATGCATATGCTAATTCTCAGTGAGGCCTCGCCGACTTCTGACATTCCTGATCTATGGACAATTAGCGGTGAAGGTGTGCGGTGCATTGCAAAGGGATTACAACCAACACATTACAGCAGTGATGTGCTATGGCCATAAAGTTTTTATGGCTGGCGGTTGCAGTGAGTTGAATGTGAGTGGGCGGGAGGTTCAGCTTGGTCTCATGACGGGACTGCAGCGCAGCTCTACAGTGCTGACAAGGATGAATAGCCAATCCTGTAATCATCCTCCCCTAATCCACCTGGGCAGACATCCTCCAAGCTGCAGACTAGACGACTGTTGTTGTTTACTAGGTAAAGATCGGTGAGGGACCCTCCAATTCACATATGGAGCACAGCGCAGGTGTAATAATATCAAAATGAGCAGATTTCCCACCTGAGGGGAAGCGGAAGGCATTAAAATCAATTTGCAAAGAATAGCTTTGCTTCCTTGCAGCGCTGCTGTTTGCTCATTTTAGTGATTAAAATTTCCCTCCACATCTCAGGCCTTTCACTGCCGTTGCTGTCAGGTGAAAACCTTGTATCTCCATAAATGTCTCTCAAATTCTGGAAAAAGGAGCTCTTTTTGTGTCCCTGGTTGGGATTTGAAACGCTATTACAGTAAATTATACATGCTACAATCAGTTATGAGGTTTTCACATGACACTAGCATTGTCATATGTCTGTCTTTAGACCGTGACATCACATGTTGGCTGTTGCAGAGCTTGAACTTGCGACCTTTTGGCTCCATGAGGCTCCTCGTTACCACCAGGCCATCTCCACTCTTGTGATGTTGCATTCAGCGACATTTGCTTGAGGTGCAGGCAGAATTATTTTTGATAAGCTCAGTGGAGAGGGGCTGCTCTAAGTGCACAGAAATAGAGAGAGATAGAAAGTGGTGCGTTGCCATGGCGATCAGATTCAAAGAGCAAGTCGTGTGTTGAAAGGGTTGGAGCTACATGACGGGAATGTGCTTTTCCGTGGAAAGAATTCAGTTGGACAAACAGAGCTGCAAGATAAAGAGGCTCAGCGGTAATGTGTAATCATTACCTTTACGGCGCGGCACACAACACCCATCGCCATTAGATTTATGGGCCTTTGAAGGGCCTGCCGAATGTGCCACTGTAATTTATGTGGGATTGATATACAGCGCTGAGCTATCAAGCGGGAGAGCAGCCCAAAAAATGACTGGGAGACATTTCAGTTCCCTTTGTCATTTCTTTGTGTGGGTATGACTGTGTTTATATATGTATGTGTCAGCCATTGTTGGCGCTCCATTACTCCACACAATATCCTCTGTCAAATCTCTATTGACTTACACAGGGTTATCTGCCAGCTTTCCACTCACTATCACAGGCTGTTGATAAGATCCTTCATGAATGAATGTTTCCCAGGTCTGCCTGTTCTACAGTTTATTGCACCAGCGTTATAGTGGAGGTCACAGAGAGGTAGTTACATAGTGAAGCTCAGTGTTAGGTTACTCTCCCTTGGCCTTTATGTGGTGAAGAAGTGCTACCTCATGCTTCCTGGGCCACTCATTTTTCCTACCACCCCTCTCTGTAATCCGGCCGTACAAACAAACATGGAGAAGGCTGGTCTCGCTGTGTTTGCAGAGTAAATGGCAGAGGGGGAAAGCAGCTTTGGTAAAAATAGCTGCTGCCCTGGACTGCGGACTGGACACAGTGAATCCCAATGAGGAAGGAAGTCGTTAAAGTGCAGGGCAGTTCGACCAAAGCCTAGTCATTCAAGGTAGCCAGAGTCACTTGAGGTCTCTGGGCAGCTCCTGCTCTGTGGTTATGGGCTGTTGCGTTCATGTGAGCCACATCTGAGAACCATCAGCAGCTTCACGCAGCAGACAGCTCAAAGTCTGCTTAAAAGAGATACACAGAAACATTTGAAAGAAGATAAACACATTCCTCTCTTACAAATGAAAAGTTAGACCCAAAGTTGGACCCAAGTGAAACGCTTTGAGGGGACTGTATTGTCCCACTGTGGTTTAGATCAAGCTCTGAGTAGATTATATTACTCTACTTGTTATGACAGCAGTAATGTATACTGCTGACTTACTGCTTATAAGCAGTGATGGCATTAACTATTCAACCTATATTCAAATTAATTCAAAAATAATTTCAGCTCTTTTGCCATGGCTTCCCAGCAGAACCATATGACAGGTCTAAAGTCAGTGAGGAAACCAGCAGCACCTCAATTGAGAATGTATCCTGCATCTCTACACAGCATTTGTACCTCAGTCTGTCTCCTTCTCTCTTTGCGTCTCTCAGAGCTCCCAGTTGCAGTGTAGGCGTTGAGCTCATTCTAGCGTATCGTCTGGCCACAGCGGTGAAAGTATTGATCTCAGAGCGAGTGGGAGGAATGAGGAAGTAGTCCTGATACATCAGCACATTGTTTGTTTGTGTTTTTTGTTATCAGGCAAAACATGAAATAGAAAGAACGTGTGACAGGAAGTGCACAGACCTTAATATCAGTTCTGCTACCATTGCACAATGCGAGAGTAGAACCTTTGCTCTACTCTAGATATGATGTGGCTGTGGTCTGAGTCCAATCTGCCATTCATAATGTTAGCTACGGAGATGTTTAGCCTACTGGTTTTAGTCACATGCAGTAGTGATAATAATGTGTGCATAAGATGTCAGATGAAATCTACTAGCTGGTGCCTTTTTTTCAAATGATGTTCCCCTTTCATCCCTGGACACTATGGATCATTTATTGAAGAAATGTGACAAAAATTATCAGAGTTAGCTAGAAAATAGGTGTTCTTGGTGATTATAGCTCTTATGTATAGCATAGTAAATGTAGAAATACAGTGTTTTTGAAATGATGTAATGGATTGCAAACACATGGCATCAAAACTGTGATGATAAGTGTGCCTGAATGGGAGCAGATTTGGGAACAGTGGCTGTTAAAGTCCAAAAATGAAAAAGCAAGGGAGTCTTGTCTACACACTCTGTGATAAGTGAAAGGAGATTTCTTCAGACTAACATCAGAGGAATGTTTGCCCATTCATTTCTCTCTTAAATCTGTATTTAACAAGGGCGTTGCATATAAAAATGTTCTTATGGTAGCAAAAAAGCCTTACTTTATAGCCTACGGAGTACGCCGAGGGAGACTTGTTCAAACTGAGCAAGAGGAGTGCTGTTTACCCAAGCATTTTACTTTGAAATCTATATTTATCTAGCTTGATGCATTTACAAAAAAATGTAGTATCAAGGTAATGAGATACAGTGCCTCTTCATTACCCCCCAAATCGCCCCTGGAGCATACGCTGCATTGCTCCAGAGCGCTGAGTTGAGTGGGACAAATATAGAGACCAAACAGGAGATATTTTTTGTGCTCTTATTTGTAGCTTCTGCAGAGAAGAGGATAGTGTGTGTGTGTGTGTGTGTGTGTGTGTGTGTGTGTGTGATCAGGATGGAGAGGAGATCCCCAGGTTGCTGCTCCAGCTGGGTTACAGCATACAGTAGAACGTGGGCCCTCAGGGCCAGCTGGGGCACAGAAACAACTCTATTCCTTATGCAGAGCCTTCCATCCTGTGGTAGTCCTGGAAGAACGGAGACATTTAGCATCCATGCAGTGGTAATCTGCGAAATTCTTGTTGTGTTGATCTTGGCTACGTCGTTGCAGCCTGGCAGCTAGCGCTGTGATGTTTTTGCACTCAAATTCCCAGAAATAAATTGGCAATCAAACAGTGTGTCCAGTACTGCAAGTTTGGTGTTGTGTTGCTTTTTGGGATTTTCTGTTTATGAAGTTTGACACTCTGTTCTAATTAACTACACATTTTCTCCTTGTGTGTATTCCAAACACACTCCAGTTGCTGGTGCCAGCGAAGTAACAAGCATCAGATGATTTTCCAAGCAAATCTCTATATGACACTAAATGCATCTTACATAAATAAAGCTTTTTATGAACCTAGAACAGGTTGATATTATTAACAGTCATTTATTTATGAAAAAATGTTGCAAATTATTGTTTTAACCCCCGGGACAGAGCAGTAACTGCTGCACCTTTCCACATTATCTTCACTAAGATCTGAGTCAGGACATGAGTGTGTGATGATTCTTTATAATCCCGTTAACACGCATGTGAAATGTAACAGGGTTAATTACAGAGATAGCATGAAACACAAATGTGCAGAATTCTAAACCTCACATTACAAGATAAGATCTCATTTTAGTTTGGATGAGATAAGGGATAGGTACTACACAGAGCAGAGCCAGAGGTGTCAAGCAGCAATCATTTTAGAAAATACCCTCGGTTTTTATAGCAAACTGTCAGAGGGAATATCAGCTTTGATAGCCCCAGGGCCTGTATGAAAGTGCTTTTGTGGGAATAAAGAGAGCGTTAAAGCTTGAGAGCAGGTCAAGAGACTGCAGGTGAGGGCAGAGCACAGTGCCCCCTCCCAGTCATCCACTGAACCTTTCCTCCCTGCTACAACTCACGTCACGTCTCAAGCT